ACCAGTTTTGGTAAATAACACTAATCCTGTGATGATGCAGCCTGGATTACCTTTGCCAATAGTATGTTAACTAGGAGTGACTGCTGCCAGGCCTCCAGTCCAGGATTCACTAGAATGACCAACTGATGGGTCATCACGATCACTGGCCAGGCTTGTCATGTCTTTCAAAGCCTGTCGGTCACGGCACCCTCTACAGGTCAGCTCACAGATGGACAGCCATGCGGTAACTGTGTGGCCTCCTAGTCTCCCGGTGATAAACCCAGGTGGCACTTGACAAAGGTGGATAATCAGAATAGGGGATGGACCCACATGGAGAACGCAGCAAAAGGAGGCCAGTAAAACACCTCTCATTTAAGGAACTCTCGGGTGTGTCTTGTCATTGAGAAAGCAATGGCACGTCACTGGGAGAACGCTGGCAGTCGGGCCAAGCTGGCCGAGCAGACGACAGTTCAGCCAGCGAGGCACAGAAAGCTGCTCTCTGTCTATTTAAGTCCATACAAGAAGAAGGCAGGCACTGTTCGCACCACCACTTGATAAAAGTTCAACAAAGAAAGGACTTTTCATTGCCAATGTTTCTACTGATACTGGGCATTGAATACATATTAGCGTTCCAGTGTTTCCATTGCCCTCTGGGCTTCTAATGGCCGTGAATGAGGTTTTAAAGCATTGACGTGTCAAGCTCATGGAACTGTCCCGGGGTTCCCCTGGGCTGTGAAGGCCCCTTTGCGAGGTTTCCCTTTGCCCGGCCATTCTGACCGACGCACACTATTCTACAAAACAAGGGCTGCCTCGTACTTTAAAGCTTTTCTTAGAAAAGAAGAGGGGAAGGGGAAAGATACCTACACACAGAAGAAACAATGAAAAGTAAAGTCAAAAGTCAAAAGGACTAGTTGGAAGGCATGTGTGGCCCACACATCACAGATGAGGACTAGAAATCAAGATGAAAACAAAGGGCAAGAGAAGGCCATTCCCAGTGTAAATAAAAACCACGACTGGTTACAAGACAGAAGAGAGAATTCTCAATATTCCTGTAAGAAAAATGCAAAATAAACTACACCAAGAGACCTTTTTGTGCACTCATGTAATGGACCAGATTCTGAAAGTCTGGAAATCACAGTCCTTTACAGCATCAGTGTGCGGAGAGATGTGTTCTGGTATCGTGCGTGTGGAGATGGGACAATGCTTAGGAAGGGCTGGCGGCCTGATCAGAATTACAAATGCATCTCCTTTTGACCCAGAAGTCCCACTTCTGGGCAATTCTTCCTACAGCTGCATGTGAATCTGGAGAGATGATTATATGTAAGAAGGCCACTAGATGCCCGCACCACAGTTTTTAGTGACAAGAGATGGGAAATAACACAAGTTGTCCACCAGTGAGGGACCCACTGAATCTACATAGGCCTGTAACCACATAGCTCTCCTCTCATAATATGTGGAAGCAGCTGACTCACTGCCATGAACCACTCTAGCTGCAGATACAGGGTCAGGGTACAGGGGGAGGGGCAGAACGATATGCACGAGGAGCCTTTATCACACGGACATTAGAAGGAAATAGCCTCTTTCGTTCATTGTAGCATCAGGATGCTCTAGGAAGACACACACACACACACACACACAGAATGAGAGTTAGTCCCTATTCAAGGTGGGAGGCAGTGAAGGAGCGACTGAGAGGAGGGAGGGTGAGACTTCTCAAGAATAGCTTTTAATACAGCTATGAATGTATTTCATACTCAAAATTAAATGAGAAAATATGAAAAATTAGCTATAGAAACTGGATTTCCTAAATTGCCTTTCTAATTAGACCACACTGAAAGTTTCATGGATAAATGCTTCTTAAAGTTAGGTGTTTAAGCAAATAAAGAGTTTTCTTTGACAAATGCATGACAGGCAATCGTAGGGATTGGTGTCGGACTTACACAGAAATACAAACTTAAACTTATACACAATTCCTAGTTAGACCAACTTATGTCAAATATATTACATTAAAAAGTGGAGGCATATAAGCATATGCCTGTTTATTGTCTCTACGACTATTTTAAAAGGTACATAAAAAGGTAGGTCATAAGAAAGGGGTGCTACTTTGCAATGGGCACAAGAACATTATTACTATTTCTGTAGTATTGTATTAAAGATGGATAGTGTACCTGGAAGTCTTCATATTTTTTGCACAGAAAGATACCGCTTATATTGTATAATATGGCAAATATTTGAGTAGCTGACATTAGAAATTAACCCCAACCTAATTGTTCTAATTTACATACAAATTCAATTGAAAGAGAGAGAGAGAGACTAGGAACAGAACTCACTCAATTCAGGGGGCTGCCTGTGAAGTTAATTTTGCATTGTTATTTTTAGGTGCCAATGAGTCATTTCCAACCCACAGTGACCCCATGCACAATAGAACAAAACACTGCCCGGTCCTGCACCATCCTTACAACTATTCCTGCTGTTGCAGCCATTGTGTCGCTATATCTCATTGAGGGCCTTCCTCTTCTTAGCTGCCCCTCCATGATGTCCTTCACAGGGACTGGTCTCTCCTGACAATTTGTCCCCAGCATGTAAGGCAGATTTGATTGCTCTTTCAAGAAGTTAATCTTGCACACTACCAGTTACACACACCATTACCATGTGGGAGTTGGTGATGAGACGCACATAAGAGTCTCCCAAAGGATTCAGGAGAGAAAGCAAGCAC